GTTATCTCGTCACGACATAAACCAACACAAACCAATGTATTAACATGAGGATAGAAGCCTTTCGGGACTAATGTTTGTTTTGTTTCGAAGACAAATTCTTCAAGTCTGTATGCATTAGGAAATAACTTGTCTAAAGTAGTTTGAAAGTCACCAGCGGATTCTCTCTGCTTAATGGGTTGGTGGCAATGAGGACAAGCGCCATTCGAATCGGCTGAAGTATTAGCAGGTAACTTGGTAGAGTGAGGATCAAAACTGGTCATATTGACAATGAACTATAAATATAAAGAAAAGATATTTTTCTCTGTTTTTTTTTATATTATTTGATTTTTCTTCTAAACTAATTGTAATAAAAATCTATTTACCACGGTAAAATAATAATCACTGATGGGTAACTGTCAAAATCCTATATGACAATATCTTCTTATTTCGTTTAATATTTTTATATGACGAAAATTTCTTATCTGTCTCTTCCTTCTTTCTATGAGAGTAATAAAGAATTTAAAACTAGGGTTGTCACATAACCATTACCATTAATAAGTAATAATTTTTAACGTTATTATTATTATTACTAGTAATTAGCAATAGTTTTCGCAAAATAATAAAAATAATTAAAAAATTTCGTAATGAGTAATAAAGTAATAAATGTTACTACTAATTATCAATAATAAGTCATAATTTCACAAATACTAATAAAGTAATAAGATAGTAATAAGTAATATTTTTTTATTACTTATTACTGGTAATAAGATTAATTGTAATAAATTTTTAACAAACTATTGTGTGATTCGCTAATAAGAAACAATATTAGGTCTAGCGCTATTGAAATAACAAAAACAACGTAAGTTGTGATATTACATGATAAGTAATAAAAGATTATTACAATTACGAAATTACTGTTATAAAAAGTAATGGTAATATGACACCTCTATTTAAAATAGGGAGTTACTTCTCAATCATTTTGTATATATATGTATGTGTGTGTATATGCGCTTGAAAAAAATCAAACGTTCTGGGAATAAAACATATATAGACGAAATAGTGAGAAATTAAACATGCGGACAAGAAAACATGTAAGAAAAGAGGAAAATATCTAAGTAAAAGAAAAGAAAAAAATACATGATATATATATATAAGCCGTATGTAATATCTTAACGATGAAAGAATAGAGAAAAAAAATAGGGGAACCGTATTATAAGATAGATATGTCAGACCATATGTCTAATTATGTTCGATGCCGAACAAAACAGATCCTAATAACAAAAAATAATATTTTAATCCGAAACTAAATGAGCATCAAGTCTCATGAGTCTCTACGCTCCGCCGCCACTGCATTAATAGTTATTTTTAACAATATGACATACATTATTTTTTAGTAATTTAATTACTAGATCATGAGTAATATATAAAAAAGAAAGTTTGTTTGTTTGTTCTAGATATATATTTGGACTATATAGAGATCTCAATATTTTCTCGTTGTCTTCTTCGATTGTCATAACTATGAACTAATTCTTTTTAAGTATTGAATATCTGCAAGTAAAACTAAACAGTCTATAATAATAATAATGCGAACATATATTATCAAGAATTTTCAATGACATTCATTGAATACTTATTTGAATAAGTAAACTTCTCAATAGTTGATTAATGTCTTTTCCGTTTTTCAAAGTTTCGTCCTAGGATTTTTTTTGAAAAAATACAATGTATAGTGGAATATGGTGTCATGAGTAATCAGTAAATAACCGTTCCTTACTCCGAACTCAAAGAAAAATGTGCTTTTTTATTCACTCAAAAAATCAATGTTTATCACGGCAACAAAATTTTCAATAAAAATTCTATCACATACTTATAAACTAAACCTTTATCTCCTTACAAGCATAAAACTCAAAGTTACTAAAACTACATATACATTTAAGTAGTCCTATAAGTTTAGAATAGATTGATGGCAGTTCTATTTCGGCAGATTATATATACTCTGCAAAACTTTACCAAATAGTATTGTCTATTCAACGAAGAAAGAATTTGTCTTAATGAAATGGTGGTTTAGATTACGTATTGCATGATTATACTACATACTCTAGATAACAGTATTTCATCATCTTCTCATATAATTTTTGATAAATAATTCTCGAATATGATAAGAAATACCCATGAATATAAATCTATAACATAAACTTTTGCGACATATGAAAAAATAATTTTTCTTTATATTATAATACGTCTTTTCTATACTACTAACAGAAATAAATGGATTACTTTCTAATAAAATATCGATCCATAGAGACGACGTGTAGATGTAGATGAAATTAATAACATGTTGTTTATTGCAGAAAACGTATTTGCTCATAAAGAAAAAAACAGATTATTTACTGTTTAAATATATTTTCGGTCTCATTTATATCTTGATTGATATGTTTAATCTTCAAATATAAGGATATTTTATAATCTATAATTTACAATGAAACAAGACATGTGCGACATCTATGAATCTTATTTTTTGATTGATTTATATTTTGTTCAATCTAATGATCTGGGAATAGCCAATGAAAAGGAACAAAGAACTTATTATGATGCATTTTATTTCATCCCTCTTCTTTCTTTCTTTTTTTTTCCACTCGTCAAAACCGTGTTTCCTCTTTCACTTCTTTCATTTATTCTTAAACATTGTTTTTTTGATTTTCAATTCTATTTGTATTTTTGTTCATGCTAGACGATAAACAATCGTCAATAATCCGTCCTAAAGCTGTACCTCCAATGTTTACACCTGTTCTTACACCAAATACTCAATCATCACCATCGACAATGAGTAATAATAATGCAAATCGAATGTCTCAACAAGCTCTAATGGAAATAGGTACAATGATTCGTAAACATGATCCTGAAGCAACACGTTTATATGATTGTATCGGTCAAGTTAAAGTCTTTTCTTATAATTCAGTTGATTTACGTTGGGAAAATTCACCTAATATCGAAGGCAACTTATGTGCATATGAAAGACAACAAATAATTAATAATAAAATTTGTCCTTCATATGCATTTGCAATTATCAATGGAGATAAAAGTTTTATACAACCAATAACTTCGGATATGGTACAACATGCTGACAAATTACGTTTATTCTTTGAAGTTGCTCGAAATAGTCGACGTGAAGTATTCTGTTTACATTTTTTAACTGAAGCGGAATGCCTTCGGTTACATGCATTTCTTAATCGATATATTCAAGCTTTACGAAATCTTGCCGAACAACAACAACAACAACAACAACAGCAGCAACAACAACAACAACAACAACAGCAGCAACAACAACAACTACAACAACAACAAGTTCGTGCAATACCATCTTCTGCTCCTATTGATTCTCAAACACAATTAAATGGACAAATAGCACCGATGATACCTATTCAACAAACACCACCTAATATCTATCGACAACAAATGCCGCAACAACAAATTATAGTAAGAATAAAGAAACTTTTATTTCCTATCAACCGAAAAATATCTATACTAATTTATTTTAGACACCCAATCCAACAATTCCTACAACACCACAATTTGGTCCTTCGCGTATTAATGTCAATCAAACTCCAACTCGTTTAACTGCATCCTCACTTCTTGCAGCTCAACAGCAGCAACAACACCAAATACAACAACAACAGCAGCAACAGCAAACACCACATCAAATAAATTCCTATCCTCCTCAAATGCCTATTGATCTTATGAATACAAATCTCATACATTTAACTCCGACTATTCCATCAGCATCGATCGCTCCAATAGAAATGCCCAAACCTCTCGAACAAATTCAATTTCCTCCATCACCTATTCCATTAACAAATGGAAATAATAATAATTCAGAAGATCCAACATCCTCACTTAAACGACTTCTTAATATTCGCAGTCAAACTGGTTTAGAAAATCTTTCAATTGATGATGGTCCAGTTTATCCTAAACAAACAACACCACAAAATTTACTTGATCTTATGCCACCATCTGCATTTGAACCAATAACAACTACACCACCATCACCTGTTGTTGCTATTGGTGCTGAACGTATAAAACATCGTTTATCAACTCAGTTAAATCCAATAATGTCTCGAGAACATTTTCGTAATGTTCTTCTTCATCTTGTTCAAAATGATGATCATTTTCTTGATATTATTTATCAAGCATGTCTTACACATCCATCAACAACGCAATAAAACATTTCGAGAAACAAAAAAAAAACACAAGAATATTTAATAAAAAATAGACCTTTGCATGTACCTTTTTTTTCTTTTGTTTGTTTGTTTTTTTGTCTTCGTACATTATTTGTCTATACGTATGTTCTATTTGTTTGTCATTATTAAAAAAAAAAGAAAAATTATCGTTCTTCATTAGAAATGAAACCAATGTTTTTTTTCGTTCATTCAGATTTTTTGAATAACAAATATTCTTTAATGTAAAACTTATTTGAAGAACAATTCAAGGTAAACATTAATATGTTCTTGTCTAACTTTATTTAATAAAAAAACAAACGGAAAACTACTAAATCTGTTTAAACAAAAGTTCGAATGATTCCTTATCTACACAATTTCATTTGATTTCGTTTGTTTTTGTATAAGTTGATCAGTTTGTTCACTTAATTCTTTAATTCGACCACCAAGACATGGTGGTGTACGATATTTTTCATCTAATTTAAGTCCACGACGAAAACTATCATACCATAATGTTGGATTTGGTGTATAGAAACTTAATGCATGAATTTTATGTTCTTTAACAATATCTTTAACTAATTCATTTAAACGTCGATGTCTTTCAAGCATTGGTATAGCTTCAAATTTATGTGATATAACAGTTAATTGTAAATGTGTTTCATTTCCAGGTTTATTACCATTATGTTTATAACTATCATTAACAAGTTCAACATGATAAGGTTTTAAATCGGATTTTTCAATAGTTTGTTTAATTAATTCACATACTGGACCGAGTTTTGTCGATGTTAAACGTATTTGAATTAGAGAAAATTTTAATGGAGAAAGAAATTTACTAGCAAACATGATAGATCGATCTTTGAAAGAAGGAATCAATACATAGAAATGAATGATTGGTTAATTTTTAAGAAGTATTTGATAGGATAACTGAATAAATATTAGAGGTATAACAAGAAATTACTCAAGTCTTGGATATTTATCAAATAAAATCTATTATATATTTTTTTACTATAAATATAAGGGTATACACTTACGATAGATGGCGCTATTTTTTTCTAAAATTTAATTCGTTCGTTATATTGAATATGAAAGATAGACTGTTTCATTTAAGGTTTGAAAAATAAAGTTTAGCAAAAGAATAATTTTGAGAATATAAACATTGAAATATTTTATTCTCCTATATTGTTAGATAATATGAACATTTACTTTTATCGAAGAAATATGTTGTATTCCATTTTTTTACCAAAAAAAAGAAATATAATTTTTTGATCATGATTATAAATTTATTTTTTTTCTAGATGACGTTTCTCGAACGATATTTAATTGCAGTTGATAAATGTTATGTACAAAGTTTGAATGATTCAGAAACTGAACCATATAAATCGAAATATGAAGCAAGAAAATTATTTGAAGAATTATACGATGTAGATATAGATGAAAAATCAGATAATCTAGAAAAAGAATTCCAAACTTTAGATCTGATCGAAGAAGATGATAAGAAAAAATTTATTATGATTCAATCTGATCAACAAGCAAAAGAACTATCCGGTAGATTATTATAAAATTAGTTTTCAATTTAAATCAACTTATAATATTTTTAGTTTCAAAAAAACATCGTTATTTAATCCATTTATTACTTGATTATCATATTGCTGCAATCTACAGTGATACGGAAGAAAGAAGTGAAGGTGAATCTCGTTTACGTTCAATTTTAACATCAATTGAACAAGCTCTTTATCATCCATTACTTTGTTCTCTTAGTTTAAATTTACTCAATCAATTAATTCTTATTCGTACATCCTTTGAACAATATAATGATGCTATTGAAATTGCTAAACAAACCGAAGATCTTTATAATAAATCATTAGTAATAGAACCTTATCTTTTACGTGAAATAATTCATATTGATACATCAATTCAAGCAGATGATCGTCGTCAAGAATTCGAACAAACATATACACATACTTTATTTTATCTTGCACAAATCTATGGAAAACTTGATCAAAAAAATGAATCCGCTAATTATTGTCGTTTAACACTTGAACGACAATTGACAATGTTCAATACAAATCATAGTAAACATTTTGATCCATTCGATTGGGCAACAAATTGTGCAACATTATCACAATATTATATGACAAATCATGATTTTGCTACAGCAAGACATTGTCTTATGTGTGCTGATAAAATGTTAGAAAATGTTCCATCAACTCATGCTGAGAATGATAAATTAGCTGAACGAATAGCAAGTTTTAAACGTTGTTGGGTGAAATATGCAGTTAATTTATTAAGTAAGATTGATTGAATGGATAAAATACTTGAAATAGAAAGGTTCGAATCTATGCTAAAGAATCTTATCAGCACGATGAAGAAACAATAACTTTCCCTCAACTGACAATTACATGGAAGATTAGACTATCTGAGTGCTGTTGATATTTAATTCTCATAGGAGAAATCATCTTTCAGTTCTCAGAAGAATTGCATTTTTTCATAGAAAATGTATACTGATGATAGACTTGCGAAATTCTAGGTGATTCATCTGATCGTCTTCTTCAAGCAGCTGATCGTGATGTTAATCCAAATGAAATCGTTCGTTCTTCTACAACACCACAATTTCAATTTAAACTCTCTCTTCCACCACCAACAATCACATGTTCTTTTATTCTTGATTATGATCAAGCTCGACAAGTATTTCTTTTTGCTATGGATAAAATCGATTCAGCTAAATCTTATTATATTCTCGATGGTTTTGTTACTGATCATGTTGAATTATGTCAAGATACAAGTCAATTATATTCTAAATTAGTTTTTTTTGAATCAAATATTGATCGTAAATGTAAAATGCATAAACGTCGAATTGATTTATTATCAACATTATGTGGAGAAATAAGTGAAGAACATTATTTATATATAATGCGTCAATTATTATTTGAATTAGGTGAATGTTATTCAATGTTACTTGATCTTAAATTAGAACAAAAAAGTGATTTAAATTCAAATAAAACAATCGAAAAAATATCTCATTTAACTAAACTTGGTATTTCAACATTTGAACGTTTCCTCTCAACAATGAATGATAAAAAAACCAAAGAAAAACCTGAAACTTATGCCGATGAATATGTTCGACCTGTTTTATTAGCACATTTTTATATAGCAAGATTTTATTCGAAATTTATTGATAATCGTCTTGAAAATCTTCAACAAAGTTTAAATCAATATAAAATTATTGTTAATTATGTTGATAAACATCCAAATTCACGTGAATATATCGAACAAGAATATAGTATTTGTAAAGAAATGATTGATTTATTACCTTTAAAACTCGAAAAATTACGACAAATTAAATAAAATCTTTTTATTTTAGATAAACTTGTTTCTTATTTTTCCATAAAATCTAAAGAAACCCATACAAGAATCTTAGGCATTGCTGAAAAGAATGAGTTGTTTTTATTTAATAAATCGGGAGTCTTAACTTTTCTTTTAATGAAATTATAGATTTAAATATTTTATTTTTATGACTTCATCAACAACGATGGTAAACATTCTTAATTTATTTTATAATTTTACAAGCTTTTTTCAAATAGAAATCTCTATATCGTCTACCCGGTGAACGTGATCATTCGTCATGTATTGTTCATACTCATGGAATCTTATCGTCGGCTTCGTCAAAACAAACAACACAAGATAATTTTATTTCTATTCCTCGTATCTATGAACCTAAAGAATCCGATCTTGTTATTGGTATTATTATAGTTCGTACACCGGACTTATTTCTCGTCGATATAAATAGTTCTGAATCAGCTATTTTACCAATTACATCATTTGATGAAGGTCGTTTACCTGCTCGTAATACAATGAATCGTTTAAGTGTTGTTTTTGCTCGTGTTATACGTACAGATTCTTGGACACAAACTGAATTATCATGTCAATCAATTGATCGTACGAAAAAAAAATCTGATTTTGGTCATTTAAATCAAGGTCATATTTTACGTTGTTCATTAGCATTATGTGAAAAATTACAACATTCACAACTAATTAGTCATTTTAATCGTATTGTTAAAAATTTTCGTATACGTGTTACACAAAATGGTTTTATTTGGTATCTAACTGATACAATAAATTCAATGATTGCTATAAAAAAAGTTTTATATGAATATGAATTTGAAAATAATATTGATATTTTATTAAATTTATATCAAACATCAATGAATAAACTTCAAGAAAATGATGATAATCTTATTAAAGCTAAACAAAAACCAATAAAAATAGATGTAGTACAACCAATAAAAACAGATGTACAAATTATAAAAAAAACTGAACAACCACCAACAAGTAACGCAGTAACACGTTTACTTAATCAAGTTATTAAAGATATTCTTGTAAAAATTATTGATGATATTGAAAAAAATGAAAATAGATAATAATATCTGTTTTGTATATATGTTCAATAAACTCGATATATTTTTGTTTTTTTTCTGTGTTCTATTAAGAGTGAATGCGATTTTTATTGTTCAAAACATTTTAGATTATACATTGCAATTATGTCTAGTGATTCTGAAAATGAAATCAACAATGGGATGGATGACGATCTTGACAGTGAAATGGATGATGCTGAAGTAAGCAATTGAATACAATCTTTATCTATAATATTCTTACATTGTCCTTCAGTGCTATAGTTTATACGAAAATAGAAACTTTGTTAATAGATATGTCAAAGTTGACTTTAGAAGGTAATGGAAGTATAAGGTCACTTTTGACAGATATATAATTACATACATTCAGTACATAGATGAAAAATAACTCATAATTATTCATTTCATCTTCTCTGTAAATCAAGGGTTTTCTTTTCAAGTTTCGTAATCTTTGAAATAACTTGCAAATGCAAAAAAAATATAGAAACAGTGTTCTCTCTGGCTTAGAAGAGATTTTGGTGAATACATCTATATGAGAATTATAGCATTAATGAGATTACTCAGTTAGTACACTTGATATATTCCTGAAGCGCTATTTCTAGAATGGTGTGGGTATTCTTCTGATTCATTAACCAAACCCACACCCACTGTCTATATGAAATATTAAGTCTGAAAGGGTTCAAGTATATTTATTTTTTATTTTTAGCTTCAAAAAGCATTTCAAGAAGGTCGTCTTCAACCTGGTTTAAATATTGAACAAAAACCAAGAAGACCATTAATCAACAATAAAGTATGGAAATTATTTTTATTATAAATATATTTGACATAGATATGTTTTAGGATGTACTTAAAGCTAAATATGATGAAATGTATCTTAATTTACCATGGATTGAACGACTTGATTGTACAACTGCTCCAGTTGTAATTAATGAAGTTGATTTACCAACAAATGAGGATGAATTAGCTGATAATGATTTTAAACGAGAAATGCTTTTGTAAATTATTAAAATTTATTAAAATTATACAATTACGAATTCTATCTTTTAGTTATCGTCAAGCTCAAGCAGCAGTTCTTGAAGCTGTTCCTCGTTTAAAAAAAGAAAAAGTTTCAACAAAACGTCCTGAAGATTATTATGCTCAAATGTCTAAATCAGATGAACATATGAAAAAAGTCTAATATTTTTTCTTATTTTAAATTTTTTTTATTAGTTGTATTGTTAGGTTCGTGAATATTTAGTTAATCGCAAATCTGAAATTGAAAAACGTGAAAAATTACGTAAATTACGTGAACAAAGATTATATGGTAAAAAAGTTCAACAAGAAGTTTTACTAAAACGACAAGAAGATAAAACAAAATTACTTAAAACAATGAAAAAAGTTCGAAAAGGTATGATATTTATTTCAATTAAATTAATCTACATTATTCATTATTTTATAGGTAAACAAGGTGGTATGGAAGAATTAGAAGAATCTCTTGGTGATCGAAAGAGATATGCAGGAAAACCAAATGGAAATGATAACAAACGAATGTAATATTAGAAAAATAATTAATATGTATGCATATTGATTTTCATTTAAGGTCAAAAACAAATCGTAAAGTTGAATATAAAAATAAAAAATTTGGTTTTGGTGGTCAAAAGAAAAATTCAAAACGAAATACAGCTGATAGTTCAGCTGATGTAACTAATAAAAAATCCAATAAATGGGAACGTCCATCATTTCATGCACAAAAAGGCAAAAAAGTATGATATGATTATATTGTAGAATTGAATATTAATATGATGAAATATTTTTGCTAGGGTAAACCAAAACAATCTCGACCTGGTAAAAATTCTCGTCAAAAACAACGATCAAAGAAATAATAAAAATTGTTGTTACTTTTTTCACTGTTATTATTGTTTTGTTCCCTTTTAATTAAACATAAGGGATTTTCAGAAATAATAAAGATGTTTTTCAGTGTTAAATAAAAAAATTTCAAAATTTTATTTGTAATATTTTTACATTTTGATATTCATAGAAAGATTAAGATTTGTTAATAATATGACCTTGGTTCAGGGGATGTACGAAAGATGCACGCGGCGAAACTTGCCGGCGACGTTTGGAAGCAAAACAGGCCTAACCAACACGAATATATCAAGAAATCCGGAAAAGAAAAAATTTGAAAACGAAATAAAACATGTCTCTGAAGATGGAAATCTTGCATCCGAAATCCGCCCAGCGGTATAGTATGACACCGGAACGGAGCAAAAGAAATGACCAGACGAGGAATCGAATTTCGAACCTACTGCGTAACAGGCGGATGCTCTACCAACTGAGCTAGGGTGTGGGTGGGTATGGGTGTGAAGCAGGAAGATCCACCCACACTCTCGCTTGCTTGCAAGCCGTATAAGTCATCTTTCGGCAACAATCTCTCAAGCTTAAAGCGGGAGCATAACAGAAGAAAGCGCTGAAGATATTGGCCAGGCAGAAACACATCGATGATTTAGGTACTCGCTTCTACAACGGCGACATCGATCATGTCGAACTTTTCGACGGACTCTTTCCTTTGGTAGCTTCGAAGAAATAAACTTATCAAATTCTCTCTCATATCTTCATTATTTCTACTTGTTACGTCTTCTATGACTATTACACTACGAATAAATGTTTCCCTGATTTCTTGACAACACCTTGAGCATCACACTAATCCTCACTTCGTACTCTTATCCGCAAGTTCGTGGGAGGACCCTTTTTTTTTATTCGATGAATACTGATTAGTTTGGTACGATATTAACAAAGCATTTGACAAACTGAATTGTTAATAGTAATTTTATTATAATAAACTTTTATGTTAATATCCTACAATTTTTTTATATAAAGTTAGTACAAAGAGATTGGAAAATAAGGAATAAAGATTGATCACTGTAAACAACAGTTTTGTTGTGATGTTGATTTTTTTTCTGCATTAACATTTGATTCATCTAACATTGTATTATCAAGTATACTATCTTCTTGGATTTTTGCCATATTAATATCCAATTGTTGCGCTTCATTTTTATTTTTACATAATTCAGCTTTACTTAAATAAAAGGAAATCTAAATAAACAACAAAAAAAAATCATATTAGATAGATAAGATGAATTCAAATATAATTTACCACATCATGAAGTATTTTACTTTTCACCGGATCTGTTTCAGCTATACATATAAAAATCATAGAAGTTAATTCTATAGAAATAAAATTGTTCACTTACTTCGTCTAGCACGAAGCATTACACTTAAACCTATTTGATATTCTTCACAAGCTTGACCATATCTTAAGACACTCACCTATCATAAAAAAATGAATATTTATGTTTATCTACAAAAAAAGAGTGTTTGTATTTACAAGTTGATTGCCATTTAAACAGTGTTGATAAGCATCAGAAAGTTCTTTATTATGGTTCAAATCGACTAGAAAAAAATTATATAAATTTAGTATTTGAAGTGGATATGACAAAACAAGCTTACAATTTTCCGGTGGTGATGCAGCAGTTGTTGTTGTAGTTGGTACGGTTGATGCAGAATTAGGATGTGTTTCTCTCATTCGTCTTTTCAATGCTTCAGCAGCAACCAAACCTTGTTTTACTTTACTTCTTAATTGATGTCTTCGATTATCATCTTCATCAACTGAAAATTAATACGATGTATCGAAAAATAAAATTCAAATCATTATTTCTTTTTACCTTTGATAATAGCCACATATTCATCTAATGCTCGAACACGATAATCAAGTGCTTTTTTAAAGTTACCTGATTGTTCATAATGAATTGATTTGTGAAGAAATTCATCCTAATGAAATTTTTGAAAAGTATATATAATCAACGAAGAAGAGAAAAAGATATATTTACTGCACGCGATATTTGAGATGATAAATCAATAAAGATAAATGGATGTCGAAAAAAATCTTTAAAACTTATTCGTTTATTTGGATCACGTTGTAATAAACCTTCAAGTAAATCACGGCATTCAGATGAAATTCGAGTATCATTTGGAATCTATTACAACAAATAAAATTTTATTAAAAAATATAAATGTTCGAAGGAATCAATATACATCAATTGGAATATTTGATTTGATTTCACCAATAAGTTCATCCACAGATGAACAAACAAAGGGTGGTCGACCAAAGAGGCATTCTATTAGGATAAATAAGCGAGTGTGAGCATGGGATGATTTTTTTTACCGTAAAGTATCACACCAACAGACCAAAGATCAACACGATTATCGTATGGAAGTGAAGAAAGTATTTCTGGTGCCATATATAATAATGTTCCACGAATACTTGTACTACCTCGTCTTCCAATATATTGTGCAACACCAAAATCTAATCAAATTTTTCGTTTTATAATTAAGAATAATATAAAAATTATTTTGATTCTACCAGCTATTTTTAATATTGGTTTATCGATTGATGTTAAAAGAATATTTTCAGGTTTCAAGTCCATATGACTAAGTTTTTTTTCATAAAGAAATTTTAATACTCGTGCTTTAAAGAAATAAAATAGAAGAAAAAACAAATGAATAAATATTAATTCATAACACTTACACATTCTTACCAATTTGTTGTACAAAAGGTCGAGCACGTGCTTCAGATAATTGCTGTCGTGAACGTATAAACATTGACATATCACCACCAGCACAATATTCCATAACAATATATATATAATTTTCATCCCACTTTAAGAAAAAAAGATCGAATTAATAATATTTCAAAAAAAAAACAAGAATTCCATTTACCGAAAAATCATACATTTCTACAATATTATCATGTTTAATGTGTTTGAGTAATTTGATTTCATTGATAAGAATATCTGGAGTAGTTTTAGTCAAAGCTTTACGACTAATACATTTAATAGCATAGAAAATTGGACGAGCAGATATAGCTGAACTTGGCCGAGTTTGAGCAATCTTTAGAAAACAAACATTTAATAGTATTTTACTAGCGTTTGATAAACGTACCGGTATCAGTCTTGCTTTATATACAGTGCCTAAAAAAAGAACGAAATTAATTTAAAAAAATTTTATATAGAGCACTGTACCATATGATCCAGCGCCTAGTTTTTCTCCAAATGTATATCCTGGTAAATTAGGAAGTGGTGTTGGTTCGTTTCGTCCAGCCATATATATATATTTTTAAATTTTATTTAAAAAAATATCACATCTGAAAAAATCAACGATAGATGTATGTTTTACTATAACACTAAATGTGTATATAACTTCTACATTAAAAATAATCAAGATAGATTCACTAACAAAAATCACATGAATATATATGTATTATATATCACTATTTTATGCCTTTGACGATTTTATCTTCTAATTTAGCATAACCAGCAAGCATTTCATTATAGATTGCGGTAAATTTATTACGTGGTTGAGCAGCAACAAGACATTCAACAGTTGAACTTGTTGAATTTGGTTTTTGATTAATAACATCAATAGCACGTAAAGCACCACCTAATGCACCTGAATTAGGTGCTAAAGCAGTATAAACTGTTTTACCAAAGACATCTGCTAAAATTTGTAATAAATCAGTATTAGCAGATGCACCACCTATAGATAAATCAAGATATTTATATATTATTTCATTGAAATATTCTCATACCAGTAACTACAATTCGGTCAACACTATTATTTAAATCAACATTCGCTTTTTGTAAATAAAGTCGTTTTGCAAGACATTGTCCTTCGAGTACAGCTCTTGCTTTATATATTGCTTCAAGATCATTTATTTGTTGACCATCTTTATTAAAATAAAATCTTCCTTGAATATTTTGTGGTAATATTTCATGATCATCATAAAAATATCCAATAAAACCATTATTTGATGGTGTTGTTTCACCGAGAAGTTTACTCATTGCTTGCCAATCTTTTGCAGCTATTTCTTCACGTACACCTATATATAGAATAATTATATTTTATCGTCTTCAAACTTATTATACATACGTTCTCGTACAAGCGATCCATTTTTAAAACAAAGAAGTAACATTAAAAGATTACTTTCGGGATTCGCTGTAAGTGGATTAACAAGTAAATGACCATCAAGTGCTTCTTTTGGCATTGCAGATGCAGGAATTGAAGCCATAACTGTATCACTTGTTCCTATAGATTTATATTTAGATATTTTTAATAGAACTTACTCAATTAAATAACTTTACCTAAACTAATAACAACTGTTTTTGGATCAGATGCTAATGCATAATAAGATGATGGATTATCTCCTGTACATGATACAATTTGACATTGAGTATTGAAACCATATCGTTCTACAAAATATTTTGCGATTGTACCAAGTGCTGTTCTTGGATAGACAAGTTTTTCCGAAAGTTTTTTTTCTAAATCTTTTCCACATGTATTCAGACATTCTTTTGACCATTTATGTTGACGAATATCAAGTAAATTCATGCCTGAACCATCAGATAAATCAATTGGAGCATATTCACCAAGTAAAATACTAGCAAGAAAATTGCTTATTAATTGTATACGTTCTGTTTGTTCGTAAACATCTGATGTTTTTCTTGCTACTTTCATTATTTGACTACCAGTAAATCGTTCATAGGCTTTTGATCCAGTTATTTGAAAAAGATTTTGTGCATTACCAACAGCTTTTTCTATCATTTGACATTCATCTGTTGTTGATGAATCCATCCAAATTGGACAATCAATACGAGAAAATGATGATTGTAAAATATCAACAAGTGATAAAGTTTTTTCTCTATTGAAATTTTTCAAACTTTCTAATTCTGTTTTGGTTTTCCAATAAACACTTCCATGTTGTTGTCCACATCCTTAAGAAAATCAAGATAATGGAGAAATTTTAACAATTATTAATCTACCAGATATTCCAACAATATTTGATAGATCAAATTTTTTTTGATCGTGTAATTTTTGAAATAAAACATCTAAATTAATAATAGAAATTTTTATCTATGAAAAATATTTTTATTCTACCAATTGCTTCAAGAAATACAAACACCGGTGTTGTTATACAACGTTTATCATCTTTATCAACAATAAAACCATTTGGTTGAACATGATGAGTAAGTAATGATTTATCATTAAAACTAATTGCTTCTTCAGCAATTGTTTGTAATTGTTCATCGATGACTATACCTTTCAATTGTTGTGTACTCAAATCAAGTCCAAGATAAAGACGTTGAGAATTTTTTTCATTCGACATCTAAAATAAAATGACTAGATTCTATTATTGAATAATTTGAGATTAAAAAATTGAAGGGCGACTAGCACTGAGATTATAAAAAATACACAAACTATTGAATTTTATTCATGTGCCCGTGTATGACGAGGATATTGTTGATAAAGTTTTTCAATTTCTTCTTTATAACCAAGAAAAACTGGCGATCGTTGATGAATATGTTGTGGTTGTATTTTAAGTATTGAATGTTGACCATTCGATGATGCACCACCGGCTTTTTCGACAATATATGACATTGCAATACTTTCATATAATAAACGAATTTTTCCATCTTGAGCTTCTTTCGTTGCTGGATACATGAAAACACCGCCATACATAAGTGTACGATGTACATCAGCAACCATTGAACCCACATAACGATTGGCAAATGGTTTTTCTGTAACAACCTCGGGAAACTTTTTTGAATGAACATATTCCGTTGTTGCTCTATCTCAGTATTTAGCATAACCTTCATTAATGCTATAAATTTTTTGTGCACTTTTATCACCAAATTTTGGCATTTCCATATTTGGTGCAGTTAAAATAAATTCTCCAAACCATTAACACCTTCTTGTGTTGCTAAAACAAGCATACAAGCTGAACCATAAACAGCATAACCAGAACATCGTAAATGTTCACCACCCTGTAATATACAATCAATTGGTTCATCCACATTATCTGGTTTTTTTCCATATGCCAAATATAGAACCAATATTATCAATATAAAAATCTGATTAAAACAATCTTTCTCTTCATTCAAATCTATATATTTACGTGACAAGACAATCAATATTTGACGAACCATCTAACGGATCAAAACAAACTACATATTTACCCTAATAATTTAGAAAATTTTATCTAAATTTGTAAATATATTCTAAACCTGTCTTCAATATAATTTTCATTCTCTTCTGATGCCATAACATATACTGTATATGATGATTTGAGCATATTAATAAACAATTCATTTGCAAGAACATCTAATTTTTTTTGATCATCAACTGTTGTATTCGATGAACCAGCTAGACCATATCTACATAACAACTGACTATCGTTATCATCAGATATCTATTCAACTTACAATTTAGCAATGCCTGCTTTTCGTACAGCTGCAGCACATGCTTTAATAGCTGTCAATAATGTATTAAGCAAAATCCTTAATTCACCGGTTGCACCAGGATATTTCTTTTTTTGTTCAAGTACAAAACT